CCCGCCTCGCCCCGCGCCGCCTTCAATTTCATCGCCGACGTGGTGGAGAAGACGGCGCCCGCGCTGGTCTACGTGGAGATCGTGGGCAGGTACCGGCACCGGGCGGCCGCCCCCGGCCCGGTCCGCGGCCCCCTGCGGAACTGGCGTCCCCGCTACCTGACGGGGAGCTTTCCCTCTTGACCCTGTCCCGATCCCCTCCCGCTCTGTCCTTCCGAGAAGGGTCTGGTCCCGTCCTCCCCACACCCCCCAGGGAGGGATCCCCCGACCCTCCCTGCTCCCTCGGCTGCACAGCCCCCCCCACCCCAGGCTCCCTGCACAGTGCAGCCCCCGGCCACCTCCGGGGCCTCCGCTGGCCTCTCCCGCGGCCACCCCGTCTTGCATCCCAGGCAGCCTGAACCGGGCACGGCACCCGGGTGGGGTCCCACAAGTGCCATGGGAGGGACGAATCCGTCCCCTTGCCCCGCTGCCCGCACACACAGCTGACACAGGGACACGCTGTTGCCGCACTGGCACCTTCTTGTCCTCCAGGGCTGTTGGCGAAGCTGCCTTCTAGGCAGCGGCCCCAGGCTGTCCTGTGGCATGGGGTTACTCTGTCTCAGGAGCACGACTTTGCATTTACCTTTGAACTCCATAATGTTCCTGCCATCCTGTGTCTCCAGCCTGTTAAGGCACCTCTGAATAGTAGCTCTGCCCTTCGGCTTGTTGACCGCTCCCTCCAGTGTGGTGTCACCTGCAGGCTTGCTGAACGTGTGTAGTGTCTCATCCTCCAGTTCATGAACATGAAAGGTGTTAAATGGCATTGGCCCTTCTCTCGGTTCCTGAGGCATGGTGTTAGCTGACCACCAGCTGGACTTGGGCCCTAGTGGTCCAGCCAATTTTCCGTTCACCTGGTCTGATTATCAGCCCACGTCACCTATGTGGCTAGAAGGGTACCACAGCAGACCATGCTGAAAGCCTGCTTAGGGTAGACAATATCTACTACTCACCCCTTATCTGCACAGTCACTCATCTGACCGCAAAAGCCAGCCAGGTTGGTCAGCCATGATTTGGCATTGGTAAGTCTGTGCTGGCTGCTCTCAGTCCCCTTCTTGTATGCTGTGTGCCAGGAAGTGGTTTCTGGGAGCATTTGCTCTGTAACTTTCCCAGAGACGAGGGCGAAGTTGACTGACCTGCAATGTTCAGGACCCTCTTGCTTGGCAATTTTGCAGGCTGGTGTAACATTTGCCTTTTTCCAGCCATCAGGAGCCCCCGTTTACCACTGTGACGTTTGAGCCCTCACAGGGACATCAGCCACCCCCCTCGTGTGTATCCTGTCTGGTGCCATGGACTCATGTGTGTCCAGCTGGCTTCAGCGATCCTTCCCTTGATCTTCTTCTGTGTAATGCTGCATTCTGACAGACTGCCTCAGGGCACAGGGACTTGGGAGGCCCAAGGAACAAGGCAAAAAGGCACACATCACCTCAGCCTTTTCTGTGTCCTGTGTCACTAGTTCCCTTCCCCCACTCAGCACCAGGCCTTCCCGCAGAGGTCAGGGTGATTGACATCCCCCATGGGGACCAGGGCCTGCAGTCATAAGTCTTCCCTAGCTGTCTAAAGAAGATGTACCCATCACCTCCCAAGTCGTTATTACCTGCTCTGAGGCAAGGCTCTGTGTGTTCAGGCTACTTCTTTGTGCAGATCACAACGTCTTCTACTTAGCTCCTTGCTGCTCTTTCCCAAAGAGCCTGTGCCATTTATTGCAGCTCTCCACTCATGTAAACTTCCCACCATGCCTCTGTAGTCCCAGTGGGATTGCACCTTTGCAGTTGTGCACAGACTCCTGATTCCTGCTTGTTCCCCTGTTGCGTGTGTGTTTGTCCAGACTCTTGAAATGGGGACCTTTCATGGGGAAGTGAAGGAGCCTCCCCTAGCATGCTGTTTCCCAGACATCCTCACTGTCCCCCGCTTTTTTCCAGGCCTACCAGTCTGGGCCACCCGGTCTGCCTGGCCCCTGCCTGCCCTCCTTCCCCAGAATCCCCACCAGTCCCCTCAGGGTCACTTGCCACCGCTTCCTGACCTGTGCCCACCTTGCAGGCATCCCTTTTCAGGCCGTGATGTGCCCATCTCTAACGGCTCGGGTTTTCTGGTGTCTCCGGATGGGCTTATTGTGACCAACGCACATGTGGTGGCAAACCGGCGGCGCGTGCGGGTGAAGCTGGCCAGCGGCGAGCAGTATGACGCCGTGGTACAGGACGTGGACCAGGTTGCAGACATTGCTACCATCAAGATCAAGCCTAAGGTGCACATTGCGGTTGTGGAGACGCTCCCTTCATTCCCTCCCATCCGCTCACCATCCTCCTCTCTTCCAGCATCCGCTGCCCACCCTGCCCCTTGGGCGTTCCTCCGAGGTGCGGCAGGGAGAGTTCGTGGTGGCCATGGGCAGCCCGTTCGCCCTGCAGAACACCATCACCTCTGGCATCGTCAGCTCTGCCCAGCGGGGCAGCCGGGAGCTGGGCCTGACCGCCTCTGACATGGAGTACATCCAGACTGATGCTGCTATCGATGTAAGGGGAGCTTGCGGTGCATGGCGGGTTGGCACCTCATCCCGGCTGCCCATTTTGGGGAGGGGGGAGCTGGGGAATGGCTGTGGGTGCCGTGAGGTCAGAGGCGGCGGACACAGAGCACTGGGAGATGAAGGGATTCTGGCCGGTCACCCGGGTGCTGGCTGTGTTTCTCAGCCTGACCCTGTTTTCTGGACTCTGCCTCCCTGCCGCGGGTCCTGCTGTGTGAGGATGTTGCTTTCATGGCCTGTTTACTGCTCTCTCCTCTGTTGCAGTTTGGGAACTCTGGGGGCCCCCTCGTCAACTTGGTAAGTTCTCCTGCTTGCACGTTCACTGGCCGGGGCAGAAGTGTGCCCCCTGCCCTTCAGTCTGTGCCCCCTGGGGCTTGGTGCTGGGAGGGAGGGAGGGACAGTGCGTGCTCCAGGCTCCTTGTGAGGAGGAGCAGGGGATTGGCCCAGTGTGGGAGCCCTGTGCAGCATCTGTTTCAGGGAGGCTGAACTGATGGGACTCTGGTGAGGCCGGCTTGGCTGGTGCTGGCAGGGCAGAGGGAGGGGCTGCGTGGGATGCAGCCCGCGTGGGACCAGTCCCCACCCAGCCTCAGCAGGGTTGGGCAGGCAGCAGAAGCAGCTGGCTGGGAAGGGATGGGCGCACAGGCGAGACTCCAGGCTTGCACAGTAGTTCCCCTCCTCTCCCCAGCGATGCAAGCTGGATAGCAGAGAGTCTTTTCCCCTGCAGGATGGCGAAGTGATTGGGGTGAACACTATGAAGGTGACATCAGGCATCTCTTTTGCCATCCCCTCAGACCGGCTGCGGAAGTTCCTGCAAAAGGAGGAGCAGCGCAAAAGTGAGTTGGGTGCCTCCCTGGTCAGGTATTGGGAGAAGGAGGAGGATGAAAGAGGGAAGCTCTGGCACAGCTGGGCTCCCTCTGAGAGAAGGGCAAGCAGAGCAGAAGAAAGAGTCTTTGGGGGTAAGAAGATGCTCCCATCTGGCATAAAACTCTCCTCTGCCATGGGAAAGCTATGCTGCTACTCCCCTGCCCACAGGGGCCTAACAAACTGCAAGGAGGATGCTGGCCTGCATCTACTGCAGATAAAGACTTTTAAAGTGTCTCAAGTAGCTTGCACTTAAGTCCTCAGGAGTAGGTGAGGATTTTTTTTTTTTTTTTTTTTTTTTTTTTCATTAGATCTCAGCATATGGGAAAAAAGGGAAAGGATGACCTGGAAACTGGAGGCTGCTTAGCCTTGTGTGTACTAATGGAAATGCAGGTGCAGGATTCAGCTGTATCATAAAGGACAAGTAGTTAATTTAGTCATGTAGAACATCGCCTCTTTTTGTTCCTTTGTGATAATTTATTTAATGCAGACTCTTGCTATCTGGTTCTCATGTTGACACCATGCAGTGATATTCTCAGTCAAAAAATGACAACTCAGACCAGGAAAACAAACTATGCAGTAGCTATAAAGCTCTAACTGGTAAAGGGAACTTAAATAAGCTGTTGGTAGGGAATCAGAATGACTCTCTCCACACGATGTCTGCCTTGGGCTTTGTGACTTGTCTGGCTCAGCCCAGCACCATTTTGAGTGTCTGTCTGTTTTCAACCTTGTCATTTGATGTCCTTCCCTTCGACAGGCTCTTGGTTTGGCAATGCAGAGACAAAGCGCCGTTACATAGGGGTAATGATGTTGACTCTTACACCAAGGTATGTGTTCTAAGGTCAGGGGCCAACAGACTGGTCTTGTTGGGGCATGATGACTGTGCGATGGGATCTTCCAAACTAAGTGAGAGTGCCTGTTTTTGGGAGGATTGTCTTCACACCTTAAGCATTCGCTCTCAAATCTCTTTGTGCTCATGTTGTGTTTAGGCTCTAGGCTGTGTCAGAGGAAAATTAGAAGCTTGCAGGTTTCTACACTTGTGGCAGAATCTGTCAGCAGATGAAGAGTCCCTGAACCTACCCCCCAGAGTGCCAGATCAGTCTATAATTGTCATTGGGAGGAGTTCGATAAAGAGCCCTTGCAACACAGCATGAATGAAAAGCCACCAGAAATATTGTGTAATTAATAGATACGCAATGTGCCAAATGAAAGTTGTGATGAAACAGTTGAGCGAGTTGTACTCTCTGGGAGGGGGGATCTACCAGGTGAATTGCTGTGATGCAGAAACAGTTCTAGAATGTGGGACTTTCAGAATAAGAAATGGCAAGTTTGCCTGCAGTAGAGTCGGCTGAGGGAGGAGGTAACCAGGTGGGAGAGCAGGCTGTGTTGGCACACATGGCGTGGCTGCCACCCAGGAGGTGGTGTGAGGCTCCTGGGTTTCAGGAGGAAGGCTGGGTGCTGCCTCTGGAGAGAAGTCATCATGGTGCTGACCGGTACAACACTGGCAAGTGGGAAGAGGATGACTTCTTGTGGGTCTGAGACTCTACACAGCCTCCTGGCTATGGCTTGGGTAGGGCATTGTGTTACCTCTGCATCTCAAGGAACGCTCTGGTCAGCAAAAAGGACTGCAGATAGACAACCTGCTTGGGTCTGATAGAGGGATCACCTGCTACCCTTGCTTCAGCTGGTCCCCAAGATATGCCTGTGGCCTTGGTTGCCAACCAAGCACTCTGAGACAGGTGCCCTACAGGCGGTGGCAGCTGTGCCCTGCTGAGGGCTGGACAGCCCTGGTCAGCCCTGCACAGAGCTCTGCGAGCCCTGGGAGGCAATTGCTGCAGGAGCTATACCTGAACGCCTGCAAGCAGCCTCCTAGATGCAGCAAGTGCACGTGTTAGGAGTGGACCTGCACTCTCACCTCTGAGAGCAGTTCTCCTTTTCAAGGACAGAGCGCCTGCTCTGGTTCTTTGGCTCTTGCAGCCATCTTTCACGAGACCTTCAGCTGACTTTTGGGGCTCAGCATGCTAGTGGGGTTGGTGGTTATAGTGTGCTTGGCAGAAACACCTTTCAGGGCAGTGCTCTGCCCTTCCTAAATCTCTTGTGGCTCCTGCGTGTTGGTTGAGTTTGTGGGCTGCCTGCACCTCTGGACACCACGAGCAGTTTCTGGGGTTCCTGCCTGGGACACAAACAGAGCAGCAGATGCTCTGTGCCTCCTGAGATTCAGGGGCAGTGCAGTGGGTGGGGGAACACTGTTAGCATCGCTGGCATGCCCCATAGATGCCCACATGCCCAGTAGATGGTGCTGGTACTCAAAACCTGTGGGATGTGGGAGCCCAACCTCCTCCTCCTTCACTGGACAGGCATGCAGGACAAAGTCTGTCAGGGAAGAAGCTTGAAATGCTTAGGACGTGGCTCCTCAGAAGCGGGTCCAGCTTCAGCAGAGCCAGTGGGCAGTCTGGCAGCTGGTCCTGGGAAACCATCTGACTGCAAAGCTTGTTTGTGCCCCGTTGCTGTGAAGATCTCCCAACAAGGGATTGCTTGCCTTAGAATTGGGTGATTGCACTGTCTGAACATGCTCATTTGAAAGGCCAGAAACTTGCCCTAGCACAGGAATAAGGAGGAGCTGCGTGTTGGGTACAAGCTCCTCGGTATCCTGGTCCTGCTGCACAGGTTGTCTGGCAGGCAAGAACTTCCTGAGACACCAAGCCTTTGCTCCGCTACCCAAAGGGAGCGGAGGTGTGCCAATGGCTTTGAGCTCAGCTGTAGTGGAGCTCATAGGTACCCTTGCCTTGGCCACAAAAAGCCAGGGGAAGAGACAGGGCCCTGGCTAGCACAGCCCTCTGCAGTCATCTTACAGCATGGAGTAAGTAGGGACTGAGCAAAGGACTTGAAAATGGCAAAGGAAAGAGGCACTGATTATTTGGAACAGGTTCCACATGAAACTGCTGCTGGGGTGTGTTGATGATCAGGGGTGTTACTAGAGGGACGTCCAAAACATGGGTTGGTTCTTCATGCAGTGTGTGATAGAATTTGCTGATGTTGTAGGGTTCAAAAGACCAACTAGAAAACTTTACAGAAGAAAAATCTTACTGGCTTTCAAATGCAAAGATGCAGTGTTACAGCTCGGGAGCTTCTTGAGCCAGGCAGCAGGAGGCCATAGGCATCTGGGGAACTATCTCATCTGCAGCTGGCATTGTAAGTGATAGGGTGCTGGGGAAGATGGACCCCTCATCTGACTGACCTGTGGACTGCGTCTGGCTGGGATGGAGTCATTTTCTTCATAGCAGCCCGCATGGTTCTGTGTGTTAGATCTGTGACCAAAACTGGTGGTAACACACAGATGTTTTAGCTGTTGCTGAACAGTGCTTACTCAGCGTCAAGGCCTGCCCTGTTCCTCAGTTGGCACCCCCAGGGAGGGGGCTGGGAGGGGACAGTTGACCTGAACTGACCATGCAGTATGACATCATGCTCAGCAATAAAACTGAGGGGAGTTTTTCCAGGGTAGCCATTGCTCAGGAATTGGCTGGACATCAGTCTGCTGGTGGGAGGTGGTCAGTGAGTGCCTTTGCATCACTTGCCTTTTTTTTTTCCTCCCTTTTTTTTTTTTCCTTTTCTTTCTTTGCCTGTTGAACTATCTTTATCGAGACCCACAAGTTTTCTTGCTTTTGCCCTTCAAATAGTTTCCCCCATCCTGCTGGAGGAGTGACCGAGCAACTGGGTGGAGACTTACCTGCCAGCCTGGGTTAACAACTGTCCTGGTTTCAGCTGGGATGTAGTTAGCTGTCTTCCTAGTAGCTGGTACAGTGCTATGTTTTGAGTTCAGTATGTGAAGAATGTTGATAACACTGATGTTTTCAGTTGTTGCTCAGTAGTGTTTAGACTACAGTCAAGGATTTTTCAGCTTCTCATGCCCAGCCAGGGCACCTGACCCAAACCGGCCAACAGTGTATTCCATACCATGTGACGTCCCATCTAGTTTAGGAACTGGGAAGTGGGGGGGGGCAGGGTTTTCGCCGCTTGGGGACTGTCTGGGTGTCGGTCAGTGGGTGGTGAGCGATTGCCCTGTGCATCATTTGTACATTTCAATCCTTTTATTACTACTGTTGTCATTTTATTAGTGTTATCATTATCATTATTAGTCTCTTCTTTTCTGTTCTATTAAATTGTTCTTATCTCAACCCAGGAGTTTTACTTCTTTTCCTGATTTTCTCCCCCATCCCACTGGGTGGGGGGGGGAGTGAGTGAGCGGCTGCGTGGTGCTTAGTTGCTGGCTGGGGGTAAACCACGACAACAACCCATGGCAATTAGTGCAGCCACACTTAGTGCTGTATAGCCTAAAATCATGTATTTACTACGTTAGTACAGAGATCTGCTTAAGGGCATGTATTGTTCAGCTTTAATGACTGAGGCAAAGAAGCAGACTTGACTTAGTAAACATGCAGACTGCATCAAATCGGTAGTTCTATCAGTAGTGCCCAGTGACAGGACAAGAGGCAACAGGCACAAACTGAAACACATGAGATTCCATCTGAACACAAGAAATCACTTTTTTACTGTGAGGAGGGTGGTCAAAGCCTGGCACAGGTTGCCTGGAGAGGTCGGAGAGTCTTCAACCTTGGAGATACTCAAAACCTGACTGGACACAGTCCTGGGCAACCTGCTACGACTGAACCCACTTGAGCTGGGGGGTTGGGATAGATGATCTCAAGACGTCCCTTCCAACCTCAACCATGCTGTGATCCTGTGAAATCAAGAAGGGATGGCAGCTTGCAAAGGTCTGTGAAAAGGTACAGTAGAGTTCAGCAAGGACCGTTGCAAAGTGGGGAGCCATAACTGACTGACTGACCGAACCTGATGAGGAGCAAGGAGCTGGGCAGAGAGACCGTGAGAATTTCTGGGGCTGCACTGGATCAGAGCTGATGCACAGTTTGTGAGGGAAGAATGCTGTTTACATGATGCACAGTCCCTCCACTCTGGTGAGATCCAGCTGGAGCGCTGTGTCCAGTTCTGGATGCTTTCAGGAGGGGTGAGGAGCAGTTGGAGAGAGTCCAGAGAGGAGCAGTGAGAGGTACAGAACTTAAGCTAGGTTTAGAAAACCTAACCTGCGGGAAGATTGGAGGAACTGGGATCGTTTAGTCTATAGACTCTGGGGGAGAGATGTGGGTATACCTCTGCTTGACACATCTGGCAAAAAGAGGGGGCATAGCTTTTGTTATGTGTCCTACCCACCAAAGGCAGAGAAGTGAAACTGCAGCAGGGGAGGGGTACATCTGATACCAGGAAGAGTGGTCTGATGTGGGGCTGCTCAGACAGGGGATATGCATCACCAGCAGCTGTGATCTGGCTGGCAGCTGCTCTAGTAGTTTGCAGCTCTCCCTGGCGTAGTTAGGACTTTCGTCCTCTAGTTTTTGACAGAGAGATGGTGGTGTTTGGATGCCCCTGGGCTTTGCAGCTGGTTGCTTGTGCTTAGCAGTGTGCAGGGATGCAGGAGGAGAGGTTCTGCACTGTGGTCTCCAAGCCTGTGCAGCCATGGTGGGGTGGGAGCCCTGCTTTGCCTCCCAGCTCCTTATCTAATGCTGATTTTCCCTCTGCAGCATCCTGGCTGAGCTGAAGCTGCGTGACCCCAGCTTCCCCGATGTCTCCCATGGAGTGCTAATCCACAAGGTGATCATTGGCTCCCCAGCCCATCAGTAAGTGCTGCCCTGTGCCTTGGGGGGTGGCATGAGAGAGCAACTACACAGGATGAGATGTATTTAGCTCTGAGTGTTTTGCTCCAGAGCAGCAGGGCTTGGGCCCTGCAGCTGTCAGTCTGCAGCAGAAACCAACTGGTGACCCTTGCCCAGGCTTGGTGTCCAGTTGGCCAAGGTACCTGTGTGGCTGGAGGAACACCTAGTGCAGCAGCCCAAGCCTCCTGTAGTGCCTGGCTCTCCTTCCTTCTGGGAAGATGAAGCTGAGTGTCTGCTTCGCCCACTGTGCACTTCTGTCATCATTCTCCCCACAGGGCAGGGATGAAGGCAGGTGACGTTGTGCTGGAGATCAACGGGCAGGCATCGCGCCGCGCAGAGGATGTGTACGAGGCAGTACGGACACAGCAGAGCCTGGCCTTGCTGGTGCGGCGTGGCTATGACACTTTGCTGGTGAGCGTTGTCCCTGAGGTCACGGAGTAGCAGTGCTGTCGCGCAGGCCGCTGCAGGCACTGGCTGGTGGTGCTGGCCGAGAGCCGAGGACGTGGGACTGAGCCATGTCTGCGCCAGTCAGGGAGAGACTGAGAGCTTGCGAGGGACTGGAAGAGGCCAGGCAGAGGGGCCTGGCCCGGTGCTTGGGTGGACTCGTGGTGCAACTGTTCCCCTCTGTACTCAAATAAAGCACTTTTCTAGGGACCCCCCAGTGCCACATGGCCTCCTTCCCACGGCAGCAGCTGTTGCCTAGTGGAGTCTGGGCTCTGTGGGACCCTGCCCCTCCTGTCAGTCCTCACGAGTCCTTCCAGCTGGGGAGGAGCACACTGGCTGTGCCTACAGGGACCTCCTCCATGTTAGAGTAGAGGTGTCCTACCACCAACTCGGTACCCGCACAGACTGGAATCCGACTCCTCCGTCTGTAACACGTGGGCACGCGTTGAGCTGTGGCTCGTGAGGCCACCTCCTCTGCGAGTGAGAGCGGCTCTGGAGCTGCTCCGGGGCAGGCTTTGCCAGGGCGGCTCTCCCTGCCTCCCTGGTGAGCCAGCTGAGGTGGTCCTCGGCAGCGCTTGCTGCTGAGGCTGTTCCCACAAGGCCAGAGGGAGATGGCAGATGAACGTCTGGTCAAATTGTTTCCACTGGGAGCGTTGCAAATGCTCTAAGGTCTGCATCCACATCTGCACCTGAGAAGCAGCTTTCCAGGCTGTGGTGAAAGGGGTGTCGATGCTGGACTCTGAGATGGCCGGGGCAGTGTCTCCCTGGCCCTGATGGTCGGGAGAGCCAAAGGTGGGAGCCTGTGCCAGGGCTATGCGTACCTCCTTGGTGCTGCCTGTCCCTCCCCCAGCCCAGTGTCTGTCGGTGCTGGAGCACTGCTCTCCCACGCACACAGCCTGGCCCCTGGGGACAGTTGGGGCCCTCCCTGTGCTCTGCAGCTGGTGGCCAAAAGCCCAGCCGGCCCTTCTGGGAAGGAGCAGCTCCGTCTGTTCCTCGTCTTCCTGGAAGAGCCCCTGCTCCGCTCCGGCCCCTGCCAGAGGCTGCGGGAGGCAGGCAGCTCTGCAGCAAGGGCTGCTTTGAGGGGCTGTGTCCGGCCCATCTCCAGCAGGAGGAATGTGTGTATTGAGCCAGGCCCTGCCCGTGACGGGGCTTCCGAGCCCTCGCCCCTGCCTGTTATTTTTAGAAGATGAAAGAAGCATAGTTCCTTGGGGGTGCTGTGGCAAAGGGCAGCTCTGAGCCGCTGCTCCCCCCCCTGCACTCCTCCTGCCCCAGAGAACAGGCCTCCTTTCAGGCGGCCCTGGCCTCGCCAGAGGAATTTGCTCCCCTGGCAAGCCCCAGCCAGCTGCTCGCAGGGGAAATAGCTGAGACGCCGGGCGGTGTTTCTCACATAGCTGCTCCGGCTGCACTGACCGCAGTGCTTTCCATTGCCTTGAGCCAGCGCCTGCCCCAGCCCAGCCACCGGCTGCCCCTCTCCTGCTCCCTGGGCACTGGGAGGAGCGGTCTGTCCCCCAGCAATGTGGAGGTGGCTGAAGCTGCCTCTCTGTGCTGCTCTCTGCTGTAGATGGGACCAGAGCGTGTGGCTGAGGTGCAAGAGCCACGGGAGCTGGGGTGTCCCTCCCTTTGCCCTTGTGTCATGTCCTTGTTCTCTGCCCCAAGCGCTTCTGTTCCCACTGCACCAGTCGAGGTAGCCCATCTCTGCTACAAGACTGCAGTCCTTGTGGGTCACAGCCCCGTGGTGGGATTTCTGCTCAGTAACATTTGCATTGCATCTGGTGTGGAGGAACCAGCACTTCACCACATCCCTGCTGCACCAGGGCAGCCCTGTCTGTTCCCACAGGTGCAGTGCTGTGGGGCTGCTTCAGCCCAGAGCAGCTATGCTTGGCTCCTGCTGGCCCCTTCCTCTCACCCACATGGGCTTCTCCCAGAATGACCAGTACTGTCTTTCTTTAGCCCAGCACTGGCTGAGGGTGGTGCAGGCATCTTCCAGGGTACTGGTGTGGGGCTAGTCCTTGCTCAGCCAGGCCTGCATGGGCAGGGGGGAGCTTCCTTGCTCCATGTGGGTATTGGAGGTGGGGACAGGGGGGCAGCTCCCATGCTCATTGCCAGAGCCTGCTGGCCAGTCCTGCAGCATGAGCCACACTGTGTCTCCCAGTCCTGCCAGGCTCCTTATCCCAGCCCAGAGAAGAGCCAGCAGCCATTGGGGAAATAGAACTAACAACTTTATAGAGAAAATAAAATTACAGCTAAGAGATGGATGTGGGAACCACTGCTGGGCAGCCGGAGGCAGTGCTGCCAGGGCAGGGAAGCCACGCCATCCTCGGGACAAGGGGCTCCCTGGGGCTCGGCCGGGGCTGTGCAGGGGTGCAAGTCCCTGCGTGGGTGGTGGGTCCTGGGCCCTGCTGGGGCCAGCTGAGGGCAGAGCCCAGGGGAGGGCTGTGGGGGTGAGAGGAACCAGGACAGAACGGGGGAGCAGGAGGTTGGGTGCAGCTGGGACAGCAGGGACTGGGAGCAGAGGGGGCACAGTGGGGGGTACAGAACCTCCTGGACTGTACCCATGTGCCGCAGCCCAGGGGACGTGGGCACAGAGTCTTCTGGCCAGTGGTTGGGGTGGTGGCCCCAGGCTGGGAGGTGCAGGTGTGCAGTGCCTCCTGCACCAGCTCCCCGAGGTGGGGAAGGGCAGCTGGCGATGGTGAGTCCCGGCCAATCCCCGGCAGGGCACGGTGGCAGCAGTGCCAGGCATGAGGCCTCCCTACCGGCCCCCCAGCAGCTTCCTCCCACCTGTGCAGGGTGAGGGAGGGAGATGCCCATCTCCCTGAGGGCCGGGATCCTATGAAATCTGGTTGTTGAGCTGACCCGGGTACTGCTCAAACCGCTTGTTGGCCTCCTCGCTGAGCGCATCGCCTGGGTAGGCAGAGGACAAGAGCTGTCAGCTCCAGTGCTGCGTGTCGCCTGCACTGCCAGCACCTCCGCTCCCACCGTAGCTGCCCCTGGGACCCCCGCCCCTGCCTCCCCACACCAGCCCGGCCATCCCACCCCAAGCCCCGCAGCACCCCCCTCACCCTCCTCCTGGGGTACCCTGCCAGGATACCCCCATGCCCCAGTGTGCCCTTGCTGCATCCCGGGGCTATTACCGATGTGGCAGCTGTGTACCCAGATGCGGTGCCCGTCATACTTGCAGTTGCATTTCATGGCATTGTTGGTGAAGTCGCTCTCTGCCACCTCGAAGTTAGGGTTGATCACGACCTGTGGGGCACTGACAGTGAGGGTTGCAGCCCCCTGCCCCACACCTTGTCAGCTTGGCCTTCCCAGCCTCACCGGAGCTGCTGCCTATGACATGACGCGCAGCACCCCAGCCCCAGCAGGACTTGTCTCCCCATTTGCAGTGGGATGTGCTGGAGGGCTCCAAGGAGCTGGTGGCTGCTGCTATGGTGGGGTGGCCCTGTCATTGCGCACCATGTGCCCATCAGCAGTGTTGCTCTGAGCCAGAAAACCCAGGCTGAAGCATGCCTGAGCAGTTCCCACACAAGCCCTGCACGTCTCCGGGCACAAGGACAGGCACACACCACCACGCACCCTGCCAGCCCCACCGTGCTCCAACCTGCTCAGAGAGCAGGGGAGGGAGGGCCGGGTGGCTGGGGCACATGGAGAGCTGGGGGTGCAGGGCAGAGGGTGGGGGTGCACATGGGAGGGTTGTAGGAGGAGCCAGGGGTGGCTCAGCTACAGCACCTGCAGAATGTAGTTGCCTGGCTTGACATCAGTGATGTCGATCCACTGGCAGTCGATATCATGCCTGTACAGGTCCCAGCAGCCCACAGTGATGCCCTGCTCCCCAAAGTTGGCACACTCGTACCGCTTGGCCACATCTGCAGGCAGGAAGAGATCGCAGCTCATCCCTGCTGCAGCCCTCTGTGCAGCCCCTGCATTGCCCGCCCAGCCTGGCCCCAGCACGGGCAATGGCTGGGTACAGACAGCCCCATGGCAGGGACATGGGCAGGGTTGGTGCTGCAAAACCTCACGGCACCCACCTTCCTCACACTCGGTGTCCTCGAGGCAGAAGCTGGCCTTGTGTCCCTCCGCCACCTTGGTGCCGTTGGGGGTCAGGATGTCATAGTGGGTGAAGATATCCATGCTGTGGTAGTGCCTGCAAGAGGGAGCCCCACAGTGCATTGGCTGCACCAGTGCCTGGATGCTGGGGAGCTTGGAGGATGCTCGGGGCAGAGGAGGAGACCCACACACTGCACAGGAGACTCGCCCTGCGCTGCGGGAGGCGTCCCACCACCTGCCCAGCCCCTCACTGTCAGGAAAGGTCCCCACAGCCCCTGCTCTGGGGGCACAGTGCTACAAGGTTGGGCAGAGCTCAGTCCTGCACTAGGAGGGGACATGGCTGTCCCCAGCCAGATGGCCCAGGCAGGTGGGGGGGAGCTCAGCTGCAGGGCACAGCCTGCAGCCCGGTCCTTGCCCCTCCATCCCCAACGCTGCTCATCCAGGCATAGCCCTGAGCCAAAGCAGGCAAAATTGTACCCTGGGCAGCAGAAGGTGCCTCCCCCAGACTCGGTGCCTCACCTGGCTTCACCCTCAACCAGCATCACCCTCGCCAGCCCACTGCAGCAGCACCATCACCTGATCCCCCCCCCGGGACGTTACCCTGCCCGCGTGCCCATCCCCACCCGTGCCATGTACGCACCGGTGGCACTCGTGCCAGACCCAGGAGTGCCGGCCAGCCTTGGGGCGGAAGTCAGCGCGACCATTGTTGTGGATCTGGGAGGAGAAGCGGAGCAGGCGACGGTGCCCATAGGGCCAGTTTGCCAGGCGGGCCGAACTGGAGAGGCAGTTCTCCTCGGCGGCACAGTACAGCATGTGCAGCGGCCGGTCCTCGATGTACGCCGTCTCCTGCACCAGCGGGGCGTGCAGCAGTAGGTCGGAGGCGGCTGGGGAGCAGGCGGCTGCTCAGGGACAGACAGCCACCCCGCTGCTCGGCGGGTGGCAGGGACGGGGCAAGCAGCAGGGATAGGGCGGGCGCCCAGCCCAAGCAGGGCTGAGCCAGCCGGGGGGAACGTGTGCCCTCCCCATCAGCTGGGCACAGGCCGACCCCGCAGCCCCGTCATCTGCAAACCCCATTGCCCACAGCCCTGTTGCTCACAGCCCCTTTATCTGCAGCCCCTGGCCCCACAGCACCGTCGCCGACAGACCCCATCGCCACTCACTCTCAGAGCAGATGACACCTGCAGCGAAGCGTGTGCCCGTGTTCCTGCAGTTCAGGCTGGTGCCGTGGTGCTGGCAGTGGCTCAGGGACATCTCATGGCCAGCGCACTTCACCCCGCTCAGCACCATCTCCGTCACATTGCTGGCGTCCCAGTACCACGTCTCCTGGGGAGGGGGTGAGACAAGCTGGGTGGCAGGGCCGGCTGCTGTGGGTGCCCTGGCTCGCACGTGCCGGGCTGCAGCCAGCGCCCCGCCACGGCACAGCCCTGCCCAGACACCCAGGCTGCCCACAAGGGTCCCATCCCGTGGCACCCAACGGCCACGTCCCTTTGTCCCCCCATACAGCCCCATGGCCATCCGGGAAGCGCCGGTGCTTGTGCTTGCTGGGGTGTCACCTGGGGGCCTCCCCGCCGGCACCTACCGTCACCGCGTGCAGGGAGTAGCCCAGGCCGAGCTGGCGACAGGCCACCATCGCCTCCTTAGTGGTCCAGCCATCGCTGCACACCATGCCCCACTTACTGCCTCGCTTCACCTCCACGCGGCCCTCAAACGCCGTCCTCCCGCCGGCTAGGCGGATCTGCGGGGAAGCCCTGGGGCCGTAAGCAGGCACCCCACGCCATGCTGCCTCCCACCCCATCCGTGTCCCGTCCCTGTACCCCATCCCCGCGGAGCAGTGGTGGTGGCGGCTCGCTGCCCTGGCCAAGCTGGCGCTGGCACCTACTTGTAAGCCGTGGTTAGCGAATCCCAGACCCAGCTGGCGACAGGCCACCATCGCCTCCAGCGTACCCCAGCCTTCGCCGCAGACCAGACCCCAGCGGGGCTGGTCCCCATCGCCAGCCCCCACCGCCACCTCGACCCGCCCCTCAAAGCGGCTCCGGCCCCCGCTCAGCCGAATCTGTGGAGAAAGGCAGTGGCAGCATCATCATCATCATCACAAGTGATGCTCCTGCTGCTGGGGCCATGTCCCGCAGGGCAGTCCTCCCCAGTCCCCATCCTGCAGCAGCTGCAGCGCCTGGGCGGGCTCTGGGCTGGGGGCTTCAGGACACGTGGGGAGGTGGAAGCCAGGAGCTGAGTAGAGTCAGGCACAGCTTTGGTCGGCAGGGAACTCACCAAAAATGGTGGGTTTGGGGCCAAGAAATTGCTTGTGAGTTTGGGAATTGTCACACCAAAGCAGGGAAAATGGTTCATTTTGAAATGGCATTCTCATTTCAGAAATGACAGGTATGAGAGAGTTAAATATCATTAAAAAGCCTGAAGTGGATGAAATGACAGGCCAGGGCAAACAGGAACATGGAGCTCCATTTGCTCATTTCATCATCGGTAAAAAAAAAATAAATCTGTCTTGGTTGGCCCACAGTGATTTTTTTTCTGGTGCTTCTGCTGGGGAGCTGGCACAGGCTGGCAGCAGGGAGAGAGAGCAGCGGGAAGCAACTGCCCCACACCACCCCACGCAGTGGGGCACCACAAGATGCCCAGACCCCCCCCGTGGCCCCCCTTCCACCCCTCTCCTCACAGGGGCAGCTTGGGACTCCCACCTGCAAAATCCCCGAGCCCCCCAGGGCAGCCTTGCCACAGACCAGGGGGAAATGCGTGGGGCATGATGGGGTTCAGAGGAGGAGAGATGACGGACCATCCCACAGCGGGTCCCGTGGGCCCTCCCCCAGCACCCTGCTCCGGGGGCCCCGATGCCGGGATCTGCCAGGCACCGTGGTCCCGCGGATGCTGGCAGCCCCCCATGGTGCGCACCAGAGTCTCGTAGCCCATGTAGGGGATGTTGCAGCGAACGGCTGCGTCCTCCGTGTGCTTGCAGTCCTCCTGCGTGATGTTCTTGAAGGGGCAGCTCCAGAGGGTCTTCTCAGTGCCCAGGCACTGCACCTCATTCATGTGGATGGGCCCCGTCCCTGCCGGAGGGATAGCACGTGACACAGGGACAGCCACGGCCATACTGTCCCCATGGCTGTCCTTGCTCCTTGGCATCCATTGAGGGAGTCCAGTGCACTCCTGGCCCCCACGGCTGCTGCCCAGGGCAGCATGGTCGAGCGGCCACAGTCCCCTGGAGATGCTCAGGGCAAGCCCTGCACCATGTGCAACTGGCAGCCAGGCGCCCATGGGACAAGCCCGGCCATGGCCCTCCCCAGCCCAGCAGAGCCTTGTGTCTGGACAAGTGCCTCATATGCAGGCCCAGGACGCGATGCCTGGCCTCTCCACCCCAGGACCCTCACCGTGGCCCCCAGCACCCTCACCTTGGCCCATGCGTGCCCCGGTGAGGGCCTCCCTGGCGCTGCCGAAGCCCAGCTCACGGCACACCACGCTGGCTGACAGCAGGTTCCAACGGTCGTCACAGATGGTGCCCCACTCGCTGCTCTTGAGCACCTCAACACGGCCCTCGCCGACCTTCGCGCCACCCTTTAGCCGGATCCGTGGCTGCAGGGGAGCAGGGTCAGGGCATCGTACGGGACAGCACGGTATGGTGTGGTGCTGAATGGCACGGCGCGGCACAGCACAGCACAGCGCAGCATGGCACAGCACAGTGTGGCACAAGGCAGTGCAGCACAGAGGTTGCTAGCCATGACTCCTGGGATGTGCAGGGACAGGACACCATCCCCACGTCCTGCGCCATGAGGTGGTCACCCAGGGACCTGAACACCCACACTCAGGTGCAGCCTGAGGGACAGAGCTCTACAGCAGGGCAGCAGCCAGCTGTGGGCCACTGCAGGACGCGGCCCCTTCCCCACGGGGCTCACCTGGCTCTGCTGCTGTTGGCGCTGCTTCTTCTTGTGGGCATTGCCAGTGGCAAAGAGGGGCCCGGGCACACAGCTGACGACAGCGGGCATGCCAGCCCTGCAGGTGGCCGAGGCGTTGCCCCGGTAGAACTCGAAGGCACACATGGAGAGGTGCACCTCTGTCCCCGTGCAGGACACAGAGTGCAGGCGGTAGTTGAGCTGCTGCCGCTCCGTGAACAGCCTGCAAGGAGAGAGGAGCCCTGAGACACGACCAGCGCGGTCAGCCGGCAGCGGAGGTGTCAATGGCTGCCCTGCCTGCAGCTGCACTTTCTGTCCGTGCCCCTTGCACTGTCCCCCAGGGAGAGATGCGCTGTGCCTGCAGGTCACCCGCTCCTCGCCAGCTGCCTGCCCCATGTCCCCGGCAGCATGGGGACACGCACGGCTCTGGCGAGGCTGAGCAGGGATCCTGGCACTCAGGCTCTCCGCTGGAGCCATTTACCTCTTCTTGGACCCTACGTCCTCCCCACGCTTTTGTTTAGGCTGAGATTTGGAGGCCAGCCTGGAAAACAGAAAACAACCATCAAGGAGCCCGGAGCCTCAGGCTGTCACCTCTGCTGGCTGCAGTGACACAGGGAGCACAGCCTGCCCCAACTTTCACTGAAGACTGAATTGGACATGTCGGCCCCCCCAGGGAGACTCACGCACATCCCCTTTGTGTCACGCATGGGTGCAATGGCATCATCTGCTGCCAGCAATGTGACACAACTGCCCTCTACAGCAATGATGCAGTTTCCTGCCCACGTCCCACCAGGAAACTGTGCCGGATGCAGCAACATCCCGTGCTGCCTTGTCACACAGCAGAAGATCAAACACCAGCAGCAACGATTTGATCTGTTGGGTACAAGTGAGGTGTGCCCATGTCCTTGTCCAGACACCAGACAACGTCACTGTGCCGTGCTCCAAGGGGAGCAGGGCGCCAAGGAAGCACAGAACCAAGCAAGCGGGGAAGGTGGCGGGTGCTCTCCTCAGTGCCATGGGGCATGGTGAGACTCGCTGCAGGCTTGCAAGGACCCACTGCCAGCAAGGGGAGCTCCCCAGACGCACGCAGAGCGGTGCGGAGAAGAGTCTGCCTGGGGCCTGGCGCACATGTACTGTCCCAACACACTCAAATGCTTTGCTTCATTCAGGGGGAAGATGCTGAGCAGGGCCAAAACCCCAGGGACCACAAGGAGTGAAGAGCGAGGTGCCCTAAAACAGGGCAGGTGACTGACACCCACCCAGGGACAAGACAAAACCAAGCCTGGCAACTGATCCCGCTGGCCAGTAGCAGGTTCAGGTCAGCCTGCACAGCCCAGCAAGCCCCAGGACACAGCATGGGGCTACCAGGAGCCGGGATTCAAACGGCCGGCTGGAGGACATCAGCACCCATTCACACTCATGAAACCACATCTCGATCCTGCATCCGGTTCTGGGTCCCCAGTACAAGAAAGACATCAGCTAAGCAGTGCAAGCCCTGAGGAGAGCCACCAATACAGTTGGGGCCGGAGGAGAGATGGGGGCACGGGGCTGCTCCCGCCTGGGGCTGAGATGGCTTCAGGGGGCTCTGACAGAAGCTGACCTGCACCTGCAAGGGGCTGTCAGGGAGCCAGAGCCCAGCTCTTCCAGCTGCAGGAGGGAAAAGCATGAGAGAAAATAGGTGTGATTGGCAACGCGAGGTTCAGACTCAGTGTAAGGGAAACTTTTTCCCCATGAGGGCTATTCACCATTGGAGCAGAGGCCATGAGGCTGTGGGATCTCCATTCCTGGAGGTTTTCAAAAGCCAACTGAATGAAGTCCTGGGCTGACCCACAGCTGGCCCTGCTCCATGCGGGGGGTTGGACCAGGACTCCCTGAGGTCCCTTCCAGCCTGGATTAGCCTGTGACCCCACGTATGACTGCAGCCATGCAGCCCCAAATTGATCAGCCCTGTCAAACCAGCACATGGCTTTCAGGAGACAGCTCCTGCTCTGGGCAGAGAGAAGGCAACAGACCACAGCTTCATGGACTTCGCAAAGCATTTCACCCAGCTCTGCAGGGGAAATACCCGCTCACTGGAAAAGGGGCAGTCAGCACCAAACCAGACAAATAACAGCACTTTGAAGTAAGCGGAACCTGTGGGTGGAGGTTTGAGGAGACCCCATGGGCTGACCCCATCTGGATTTCCATCACCAGCGCAGGCACGGCTGCAGAAGCTGGTGAGGACGCCTGTTGTGGACACAAAGCTGGGGAGTGTCACAATGAAGAGCTCGTGATGGGTCCAGAGTGTAGGGCACCTTTGGCATCAGGAATGTGGTAGGACCAGGGCAAGGTGGTGTGCTGGGGGCAGAGCAGCGTCCCCATGCAGCAGTAGGCTCAGGTGAGAGGTGCCATGCCATAACCCAGAGAGAATGGGCTCTGGCTCGCTGCACCCACCACCAAATCTGGCAGCAGGGTTCAGGGATGGAGGGAAAGCGCAGCCAGACTATCCCTTGGGACTGGCACAAAGGCAGCAAGAGCAAGTGGGCAGAGGGTACAAGAGATCCTGAGCAGATGCAGCACTTGGGACAAGACCTGCCACACCATGTCCATCACACCAGTGCCCAGTATTGCTAGCACTGCCGTGCCCATCACCCTGGTGACCAGCACTGCCGAGCAAGTGCTCTCATGCCCGTGCCAGCCCACACTGCCAACCCACCCTGCGGGGAATGGAGGGGTGCGCAGCCTTTCCAGCTTCCCCACTGCTGCTTTCTGCAAGAAAGCAGCCCATTTCCACAGCCCTCCCTCCCCATCCACCAGGAGAGACAGCTCCGCTCTGAGGCCTCCTGGTCCCCGTGGGGCTGCAGCACAGGACGCTGCAGCTCTCTCCGTGCCTCCCAGGGGATCCTGCCCACAGTGGGTCTGCGCTGCAGACCCTAACCCCCGTGCCAGGACTCTGACCTGGTGCATGGGATGGGGGCTGCTCTGCCTGGGGCACAGCTGGCCGGGGAGAAAGATTGTCTCTCATGGGGGATGGGGGACCCCGGTGCGCACAGGCAAGACCCCACCGGGGTGGGGTCTGCCCAGCACAGCCCGTGCACTCGGTCTGCTCCGTCCGGATCCATTTGCGCCAGCATCTGTTCCAACAGCAGAGACCGGCGGGGCCGGACAGCCCAGCTCTGCCAAGGGCTCAGCAGATGGGGCGACCTGGCCCCTTACCTGCTGCCTGGCCTCAGGGTCTGGCCCTTCATCCTGGCTGTGCGCTTCAACCTCCTGAGAGAGCAACACCACAGCTGCCCAGTCAGGGGCGCGTGGAGTGCCGGGCACCACGCCGTGGGCAGCATGTCCATGCCCACCCCCCTCGCTCGGGCCATGGTGCTGCTGGGGCACCTTTGCCTGGCTCAGCTGCAAACCTTCCCTCGGGACAGGGACCTCCGCACTCCACACTGGAGGGAAATGTGGAGGTGTACCACTGACAGGGAGAAAAAGCTGCCATCTTGGAGCATCCTCTGCAGTACTGCATGGGGCAGGTGGGCAGCCACGGCCCCCCAGCCACGCCATGGCCCCCCAGCTTGGTTAGTGAGTGCCCATACGGCTAGCTGGGGCTAGGACTGGTGAGCAGCAGGGATGGGAGGGACGCTGGGAAGCCACAACGCCCAACAGCATGGCCCCCCATGCTGTCCCCCCAGCATTGCCCTGTGTCCCTGGCACTGTCCCTGGCTCTGCCCCAGCCCCATGCCCCCAGCTCTGCTCTGACAGCCCAGTCCCGCGGGCTCCCTGCTGGCCTCACTCACTTGTAGAAGTTCCTGTTGACCTTCTTCTCAGCAGGGAAGCCCATCATGCCGCAGACGACATGGCTGTTCTGGCTGTCCCAGCCCTCGTCGCAGATCTGTGCCCAGCCATCCTTGTAGCGCACCTCCACAATGCCCTCCGTCACCGGCAGCTGCCTCCGGGCCCCGGACACCACCGGTCGCAAGCGGACCTCCTCCACATGGCTCTGCTCGGTCTGCAGGGCGCAGGTCAGCCCAGGCTTGCGCTGCACCCCGCCGCCCTGGCTCCCTGCCAGCCCTTTGCCAGGGATGCCCCAAGGATGCAGACACCTGCAGGAGATGGGGTCCCCAGTCCCAGGTGGGGAACAGGGATGGCCAGGTCCTGCATCCCTGCAGGCTACATCCGATGGCCCTGGGCGGCCAAGGACCTAATCCCATCCTGTGCAGCTAGTGCCCCACACCCCCCTGACCCTCCAAGTGCATCTCCTGGGAGTGCAGCCAGGAGAGCCACCGCTGCCATCCCGTCACCTCGGGATCCTGCACCCGGAGGGAGGGTGCCCAGACCGCCCCAAGCGCAGGCACCCACCCAGAGCAGGATAGCAGCAGGGGGTGCTGGGACACTGGGCACAGCCTGCAGGACATGGCCCCAGCCCCCCTCGCCTCGCAGGAGACCTGCTGTCCTGTGCCCAGAGCTGTGCCATGTCCCCACACCCAAGCCACATCCTGAGCAGAGCCTCGTCCTCCACAGGCACTGTGGCTGGGGGGGACAGGAACCCCAGCTGAGAAGACAAGAGCAGCCACGAGAGCTGGTCTGAGAAACAGAGAGCCTGGAAGAGAGAAAGAGAGAGAGAGGGAGAGGCCAAGCGTGCTGGAGGAATGCAGTGTAGAGAAGCAGGTCTGGGACTGAGGGTCCCCAGCAGGCAGGAGAAAGAAGAAAACAGGCTGCAGAGGTGTGAGACAGAACCCCTGGCCCAGAGAAGCTGCTGGGGGAAGCAGCAGCTCGGGATGCTCAGGGGAGGCTGCGGCAGCACCACGCTCCCATGCAGGGCAGGGCAGGGGAGGGATGTGCCTGCTGCAGGGCTGCCCACCGTAGTGCCAACTGCTCCCTATGGCCCCAGAGCTGGGTTGGGCTGTGGCACCCCGGGGAAATAGGTGCTCATGCGACTCAGGGGCACTGCGGGTGCAGGGTGCCAGGGCAGTGAGGTAGCATGCTCCCCTGACCGTGGGGAGATGGGGACAGCCCCCGTGCTAGGGCTGAGGGAAGGCACCGACAGGGTCCCCTGGTCCTGCACGTGGAAGCATGCTGGTGTGTGGTGGGGGAGCTGCCTCCCAACTACTCAGGGAGGACTGAGGCCAGGCTGGGCTGCCCCATGGCAGGGCTCCCAGCAGCTGGCTCTGTGGGTTCCTGGGCAGGGGCAGTGCCGGCTGCCCACCCTGGCCAGCAGCTTCCTCACCTCGATGACGTTGGAGTCCTTGAAGCCTGGGATGCGCTCGTCCTTGCAGATGACACCCGCATCTTCCTCATGGCTGCAGTCGCTGTTCCCCCAGCCCCGGTGTTTGCAGTCCCCAATGCTCTTCTCGCCTCCGACACAATTCACGTTGTCCAGCCAGATCCGCCCTGCCAGACACCAGGGCCAGGGGTGAGGAGGGGCCAAGCCCATGCAGCATCCCCCTGGGAGCAGGGAAGGTGCCCATAGAGCATGGCCAGGCATGACGCAGGCATACAGCAGGAGTGTGGATGTTGGGCTGGGGGCAGCCCTCCCTCGGCACAAAGCTAAGGCCACCAAAATGCCAAGAGTAAAGACCCAAGTGGTGGATCTGCAGATGGGGAGTTTCCACCTCCCCAAGGGGCTGCTCTGCCAGATGTAAAGCCCCCACGTAATGTGCGCCCTGGGCTCTGTATAGCAGCTCACCTGCAGCATGGCCTGCTACACCTCTGCACCATATGCCCATACCAGCCCAGACCTGCAGCCCCCCTACACCACCCAGGGGCAAGCACAGCCCAGCAGCTGTAGCGCATGCCTGCAACCACCCTACGCCCTGGATACATGCACAGCAGCTCACACACAAACATGCAGAGTTTCCCAGCCTGCTTTGCATGTGCATACATGCATGTGCGCACACATAGGCGCACACTGCCGGGCACTCAGCAAACACAAGACCTGCCTGCCCCAGACCCACCACCTCGCCAACAGTGCATGCACGGCAACGGGCTGATGTGCAGCCACAGACAGGCTGGCCCCAGCCCATGCAGTATGGGGGCCTGTGCCCACCACCCCTCTCTTACCAATGCCTTTGCCATACTTGGCGCTGTGGGCCCAGCCAGTGGCAGCCACAAAGCCAAGGTGCCGGCACAGCACATGCGCGTTGGCCAGTGTGAAGTCATCGTCGCAGATGGTGCCCCACTCATCGTTGTAGAAGACCTCAATGCGTCCCTCGTTGTGCTTGCGCGGGTAGCCAGCCAGGCGAAACTTCAGCTGGGGTCCGGGGGTGTGCGTGGAGCCTGGGGGGGTGGGCTGGCTACTGCCCTCCCACAGCCACACACTGCTCAGCAGCACCAGCAGCTCCTGCCATGCCCAAGTGCCGCAGCTTCCCATGACAGCTTGACTCTGCAAGGGCAGAAAGGGTCAGGGTATGGGGGATGCACGAGCCGTGCTGAAACGCCAGCTCCCCTGATCCAGCCCTGTGCTGGTTGAACCCCCTGCTCACACACAGCTCCGTGTAGTACCAGCACACCCACGCATCTTGTCCCTGGCCAGAGTCAGCCCACTCTCACTGCCCACCCAATGCCTCCCTAGCACCTCGCACCCCTCCGCAACCGGCCGCTGCTGAAATCCCACTGTGCTGCTGGGTTCCATCTTCTGTGCCAAAGGGCAGTGATGGCAGACAGGCAAAGGGGTGTGCGTCAGCCCCAGGAGAGTCAGCTGGAAAGGAGGGGGATCGGCCGCCAGAGCAGAGGGAGCTGGAGCAGGACCAGGGCCCAGGGAAAGCCCAGCTGGACCGGCCAGGAGCTTGATCCACCACGAGCAGTGCAACAGCCGCTGGTTGTGAGGGGCTGCCAGCCCATGCTTTTGCCCACTGCGAGGAGCAAGGCAGCCGGAGCCTTTCACATTCCTCTCTGTGCAGCATTTCTCCAGCCCTCCAATAACATCTGTGGCTCCCTGAATACCTGAGGGAGATGTGGTATTCCTGCACCAGTCCCATCGGCAAACAATGGTGAAAACATTTCTCTGTGAACCACCTTCCCTTCCCAGTGCACTATTCCCATTTACCCCATTACGGACCACTTTAACCCCGCGGGTGCCGTGGCAGCCCAGGAACAGCATTTCTGCACGGGCAGTGTCAGCCCTGCTCCAGGCTGGGCTCGCCATGCTTTTGACAGCCAAGCTCCGATGCTCACCCAGCACCGCCGGCACGGTGACCTGCCTGCCTCCCGCCACCGCAGCTTCACGTCACCCGTCCAGCCAGTCCCTTCCACAGGTGGGAAAGCACACCCCCAAACCTGGGAGACCCCTGCGACAGGCCCACCAGAAATATGTCTCTGCACCCTACATACCCCACCCTGAGAGCAGATCCTGCATGCTGCACTCACACAGATTGTGCTTGTCATTAGACAACGTTAAAAGGAATAAGGTGTGGCTTACCCACAGGTAGGGGTGATTTAAGAATCCAGTGTTTAGCTACAGGGTTACAGAGGAAGGAAAACAAATGCAAACCCTGCACATGCTCCCAGTGTGGGGCTGTGCTGCAGGGACCCTTCTCGCAGGTCCTCCCCATGGTGCCGGTGTGCTTCCTTAGCCAGCACGCTTCCCTGAGAGCCTTCATCCCCGCTCTCTCACGGCTCGCTGCCTACACGCCAGTTTGGTGGGACTGCAGGGGTGTATTGGGGCATCCTCAGGGACCATGGCTTCTCTTCAGGTGCTGTGCTGTAGGAGCCCCTTTCCCTGGACTAAGGCCTGTCCTCACGTTGCCCTTTTGCTCCTGGCCCCTCAGCACCTGCAGGGCAACAGCAAGGTCCCTGCAGCAGCTTTGGAATGGGGACCCCACAGAGCGAAGGGGCTGGGGAGTCCCCCCTTGGATAGCACAGCCTCTCCAGGGCCTTGCCGTCAGCCTGGCCACCAGCACAGGGCTGGGGGCTGATGCAGTTGACCCACCGCCCCGCCAGCATCTGGGCCAGGGTTGCCACAGAGGGTCTACTAGCAGGAATCAGCCCCGTTCCTGCTCTGTTCGCTCCTCCAGACGATGGAGGCTGGGTCACCCCTCCAGCCTCTGGGAATGCCTCCTGGATCCAATGCAAGGATGAACCAAGACAGTGCCCAGAGACGGCCCCTTTTCCATGCCCATCACACCAACAAAAGCCTCTGAAGGGGCCCAGCCCTGCTGCCTGCCTGCCCCTTCAGGCACACGCCACATTGGAGGTGCCACCAAGAGCAGCAAGTCCCTTGGAATACGCGCCTGGTGCCTGCAGAGTTGCTCAGGAAGAGAGGGTGAGGGGTAACAAGGACCGACACCACCAGTCCAGGCCAATGCCAGACATCGTGGCGGGAAGCACACCAACCCCCTTGGGGCAATCACATCAGCGCTGGATCCAGCTCTGTCCTCTGTCACAGCCTGGGGCATGGGGGACACTACAGTGCTGATGGAGACACAGCAGCAAGCAGGAACGCGCCCTGGGTCAGGGCAGCCGGCAAGCCCTGGGGTTGGTGGGAGCTGGCTCTGGGCTCCCCACACCTCAGCTGCCTGCTTTGGCACTGCGAGAACAAAACAAAGCCCAGCAGGAAGCGTATTTGTGGGCAGGCAGCAGGGAAACGCTTTGCTGAACCTTTTAATCAGCCTGTTACAGCAGGAAAAAGAGGAGGGCAGGCGCAAAGGGCCACCCCAGCCCTGCCAGCGGCTCGGGGAAGGGGGTGTCTGGGCTTGCCAGGGGCAGGCAGGGCAGGAATGCTCCATCCACATCTCTGCTCTGTCTGGAAAGCAGTGAAGGGGTGAGCTTACCATCTCACAGCAGTAATAAAACACTTCTTATTCCACCCATGAGTCACATCCCCCCTGCCCAAATGAAGCATTATAAACCCTCAGAGCTATGCCACTTTGCACAAGACACACAGACTTGGGCCCTCTCAGTGCTAATTGTAACACACCTTAGGAGAGTAGGAAAGCTGCAAGCGCAGAAGGACTAAAGCTTCACCAGTGCTTGCACTGAATGAGCAAGATGATCTCTGCTGATGCGGGCTGCAGGCAGGCTCCAGGCTGTTTTGCAATGGGTCAATACAATGCTAAAGGACAGCAGCACAATTAATGCCAATCTTCACCATTCTGCAGAAATAGTCTATGGCAGAAAGCTGGTATGACCTTTTATGAGATCACAGGTTTGGTTAATTGGAGTAAGTGTGTTGATATAACAGGCTGAGACTGGAAGGCATTCAATTCATCTTGCACCACCTTTTAATGAATAATTAGCATTCAACAAAATCAGTGCACCTTCTGCTAAGTGGATTAAAGCTGGTCACCTGCTGGAACTAAAATGTGGTTACAATAGGGAAGTCACCATTCAGTGGGCTTTCTGGTGAGGATCACATGCTTTTCAAAGCAAAACCGTGTCTGGAGGAGGAAAAAAGTCCTCTCCTGGTACAGTCTGCAAAGACAGAAATGGGTGGGAGTATGCAGAACTGTGATGGGAACAGACCTGGACAGCCTGGTAAAATGGTATCGTGTAGCCTGTATCCTTGACTACAAGGAAAATTTAAGCCCGTGCATTTAGGAACAAAGCATGTAGGACCCAAGACCAGAACACAGTACCTGAGAAAGTGCTTGGGCTTTTTGTGGCAAAGCACCAAGTCCCTGCTGAGCCCCAGCAGTGTGACCTCCAGGATCTGGTATGCTCAGCCTGAACAGGATCACCAAAATCAGCAGTGTCAGTGAGACCACTTGGCTTGATGACAGGTCTCAGCCCCAGCCCTGCAGTGGCATGGGGCAGCCCCAGATGTGCCTGCGGTCTCACAGCCCTGCCAGACAAGCACCTGGCCCTGTGTCCAGCTGGGCACAGGGCATGGCCAGAAGAGCTGACGCTGGGAGGGCCTCCACATCCTGATGCCGTGGTGGTCGGGGCGAGAGCCGTACGGCTGTGTGAGGCCAGGACGAACGTCCCCCAGCCCAAAACCCCAACCCCTACAGCAGCGGCAGGAGGTGCCCTGGGACAGGGCAGGGACATCCTGCTGCAGCCCTACTCTGGCACCCGTGGCTCAGTTACCTCAGCCTCTGTCTTCAAAACCCCACTGTGGATTTATCTTCCCCACAGTCCTTCAGTCGCTCCTGAACCTGCTTAAACTTCTGCCACCCACTTCTGCATTAACCCCAGCTTGCCGCCACCCTCGGCACTCTTCTCCTGGGTCATGGCTTTCCTCTGCTCAGGCTCCAGCGTCCCTCATCCCCTCTGCGCTTCCTCTGCCCTCGCAGCTCAGCCTGTCCTCAGCTCCTGCCACTCATCTTGGAATTTCCCAGTGAAATGCCCTGCCGAGGTCTGCACAGGCCAACAGCACTTCCTGCACCCAACCTAGGATAGCTGTTGGGCTAGCAGTGTGAACTCTCTGGGGCACGCCACAAGCCATTTCCCCGTTTCTGTACTATCTCCCTCTCTGAACGTGCTCTGAGTCCATGTGCCAGGGAGGTCAGGCTAACAGGGCTCTCATTGTCCAGATCACTTTTTCCATTTTCTGAAATGCAAGCAGTGCGTTTGCTCTTCTCCAGCCATGTGACGCTGCCCAACTTTCCCACTCTGCTGGCAGGCTTTGCTCCCGTCCTGCCTGCTGCTCCTGGACAGGGAGCCCACCCCCAGCCCCGGCAAGGCTGTTCTGGGGGCTGCGGCACAGTTTTGCAGGTCAGCGGATGGGGCTGCTCCATGCACAGCATCTCCTGGTTTCAGCCTGGGGCCCCTTCCCTCCAGCTGGAGGGCCAGCCCTGATGCAGCCTTAAGGGACTGCAGTCCTGCTGGCTGGCACAGCAGGAGGATACAAGATATGTGCCAGGGCTGGGGCTCTTTGGCTGGGACAGACAGGCCGGGGAGGGGTGGGTGTCTCTCCACCCTGGAGGGGCTGATCACCCAGCACAAGAGACCCAAGGGGGACTTCCCATCTCCTTCCCACCTCTGGCCAGGGGAAGGTGCACCCCTTTGCCCACCCTCCACAGGCTACCCCTGCTGAGAGCAAGGGTCCCACAAGGGTGACGGCTCCCACCCTATTGGCACACGGGACAGCTGGTGCCAGCGGCAGCACAGCAGGAGGATGTGAGAACTGGTGCTTTCAGGGGACCAGGAATCTGCAGGAACCACATGCATCCCGTGGGGAGGGCAAAAGGCAGAGGTGCAGACAGCCTGGGCATTGCCAGCCAGCACACATGGGAGGGGCAGGGGGCCGGGAATCGCCTGGGACAGGGACAGGGTGTCCAGGCATGTCCCCTGGCCGCTGCCGCTGCACGTCTTCAACAGGAGCCGGGCACAGTCCTGCCCAGCCTCACCTGCCCCAGTGCCCCAGCCATCCTGCTACCAGCTGCCTGCTCCGGCCAGGGACAGTCTTGGACTGGGGCTCCTGCCAGAGCCACCGGCCAGCCTCCGCCGTGCTGTGCCGCATCGAACGTGCCTGCCCCGGTGTGCGAGTGGGCTAAGACACACAGCAGCACTCACGCTGCAAGCGGAAAGGGCTCAGGAGGACGGGCTGGCCCTGAGCAAATGCTGGGTGTGGGAGCCGGAGAGCAGCCCAGGTCCTCGCCACTGCCCAGGAAACCTCAGGAATGTCCCGGCTGGGCGTGCGCAGGCCCCGAGCCATCTCCGGGTCCGCAGCACAGCTGGCGCTGGTGGTGGGGTGTCCAAGAGCCCTGCAGGGCTGAAACCCTGGGGCTTCCTGCACCCCCCTGGCCTCAGCCCTGCGCTGCCGAGGCCGGCACGGGTGCAGAGACCCTTCAGTGCAGAGGGCAGCCCCGCATGGCAGCAGGAGCCACGGCACTGCTCAACCTGCTCCCACACCAGCCTCACTGGCTCTGCCTGCCCCAGCGGACAATGGGGGGTCCTGTGCCAGGCACTGCCCCCACCACCTCTCCACTCCCCCGACTGTGTCTTGCACAGGGGCTGCCCCTCCTGGAGGGGCTCAGCTATGCTGGTGGGGGTGAGCGGTGCTGACAAGGGGTGCCCAGAGCCCAGGGCGGCTGCTGGCTCCCAAGGACTGTTCAAATCTGATGTGCCATTCAGCACTCACTGGGCACTCAGAGGGACATTGGTCTGCCCCAGTGAAACCCCGGTGAACGGAAAACAGATCTTGGGAAGGGGCAGGTCCTGATGAACTGGGGGGCCCTGGCAAGTTGGGATGTTTGATCAGCATGCTTAGGGCAGCCAAGGGCAGGGCATCCTTGCAGCACGGGGATGACATCCCAGTCCACAGCAGCAGGGAAGGGCCAGACCATGGTGGGCCCCGCGGGAACATGCTCGCTCAGCAGCAGCCTTGGACACACTCAGGGGGACATGGAGCAACCCAGGCACTGACAACTGGAAGGACTCAGAAAAGAGCAGCACAAGCGACTGAAGACCTGGGAAACCTGCCAGCACAAGGAGGAAGAAGCTCCCTCTGTTTATCCTTCCTTGGGAAGGTTAAGGGGTGACACAGTCACACTCTGCCGAGGCCCACACCAGGACATCCCTGAGAGCGTGGGGTCGCGTCCCCAGCACTCGTGGCAGGAGAAGGTCTGGTGGGTCCCATGGCTTCAGGCGCTGGGCTCCATTCCCCCCCTTCTCCCCAGGGCCCCAGTACGCACAGTCCAGCGCCTGGCCCTTTTGCAATCCCAGCTGCCTGGACGGGCATGCTTCGCTCTTCCTGCTCCCGGCAGCCCTGGGGTGCCGGGAGCGTGTGTGCACGAGCTGGGGGAGTCCCAACACACCCACCTGGCTTGGGCCGGGACTAGCCGCTCCCTGACTGCAGGGACCCCATGGGATCAGAGCTCTGGGGTGAGCCCAGCCAAGGTCTGGAGGGCAGCAGGGCTCTGCAGCTGAACTGGTGCCAGAAGCACTGGGGAGCAGTCCAGGGCCACCACAGGAGCCTGGCCACTCTGGCAGGCTTGGTGACACCTCCTAACACCACCCACCTCCCGCTGGCTGGGAGCTCACTGCTCAGAAGGCAGGGTGCCTGCCTACACCGTCCCACTGCGTGCCCCCACTCCGGGCAGTGACAGGGACGCTGCTGTGGACAGCACACCCCAACTCTCATGGCTCTGCGGGGTGTCAGCTGGGACAGAGCACTGAGTGCATGCCAGGGCTGCACTTCCCTTCCCCTGCTGTCTCTGGGTCCAGCCCCATTGGGCTACCTGATGTCCCCGTCACCCTCTAAGGAGCCACGGCAGGTCACAGTACAGCTCTTTGCAGTTCCAAACACCACCCAGTTTTCCCAGGACACAGCAGGGCCCTCAGCTCTGCCAAGGGCTTGCCCGCTCTGGGCTCCCCTGGGCTCTGGAGGGGCAGCCCCGGGAGGAACCAGCTGCAGGAGGGAAGGAAAGACCCTGGAGGAATGTGCAGACGCTGCAGCCATCAGCCACATGGTCTCGACAGCCCAGATGGGCTGAGGGGCAGGCGGCGGGTCTGGGGGGCCCAGGCACCCCGGAGCAGAGAGGCAGGCTGCTTGGAGTGATAGCATATCGACTGGCTTTTCGGTATCAGGAGCTGCTGGGAAACAGGTGACCTGCTCAGCCGCCTGCCTGCTCCTCTGGAGAGAGCTGGGAAGATGCAGGGCCAGCAGCGAAGAGAGAATGCTCCCCTAGCCCCCCAGCCCTCACCCCTCACATCCCTTCACCCATCCTCTCTTCCAAGGGCTACAGCAAATTCCATCTTCACGGAAATCCTGAGCCTCCACCGGCCTTTCTAAACCACAGCTCAGCACACAAGCCTCCTGAAGCCCGCACACGGCACGCTCGGGGATACAGTGCGGCCGCACAGCCCCGACGCGGCACCCCACGAACCTGCCGGGTCTGCGGGGTGGTGGGAAGCGCAGGCGGCCGGCGCTGCCCACGCTCTCCCACCCTGCCACACAGGGACACGCGGCCCAGCTCAGGGCTCTGCACGACTCCCCATCCTCTCTGGGCGCTCCGACAACCGGGGCTTGCGGCAGCGAAGCCGGCACCCCCGCACACTGACGCGGCCCCGGGCCCTGCCCCAGCGCCGGTGGCTGCACGACCGGAGACCCCCGACCCCTCGCACCCGGCTCCGCGCCGCCCCA